AGAAAAAATAACTCATAAGTTATGCTGGAACTTATTAAACTACACAAAAGTAAATTGTACCAGTTACTAGAAGAAACTTCTGTTGAGCTAGAAGCTATGAAATGGTAGCTTAAACTACTTACTAATAATACTTTCAAGTTTAGTTTCACAGCAAAACTTTAGACCATAATCTGATTACTATCAATCTGACAAAACTACGTATGAATTACTGAACAAAGTTTTAGACGTTTTCTGGTCATTAACAGGTAATTATAAATTACACAGCCAATAAAGCACAACCAGATTTGTGTATCTAAATTTCTCAGGTTATGCCATGCGTAGTAAGTTCAACACATGGTTAGATTATATATTTTTTAATTACAAAAATGCTCCAAATAAATAATACATATGTATTCTTACCTAATACTTTAAGTCTACTGTCAGGTTAACATTTCGAGACTAGAATCTTTGATCCTAACTTTAAAAGACCTATTATGATATCATTGTGAAAGTGAACCATACAGAAACAGTGATAAAGCGTTAATGTCAGGATGAATAAGATATTACGGAATAAAACCAAACGCCATCTATCTGACAGATCTTGAAAAAAAAAGAAGATTAAATTGTACCAGTTATTGACTAAAAACACTGGATAAATTATAAACAATTGCACCAAACTAAAAATATAAGATATTCAAAAATGCCAGATCAAGCTAGAAACAACCAAACAATGCTACGCAGTTTATGCTAGAAACCATCAAAAAATGCCAAATTACGACAGAAGAAATTCAACATGCCAGATTAACATTCAAAACACTCAACAATGACAGATTAATTAAAACCTACCAGATAATGCCATATTAAGATAGCAGTCATCAAAAAATGGCAGATTCAGATAGAATACACTAAAGATGCCAGATTAAGATACAAAACACTCAACAACGCCAGATCAAATAAAATCAATAGAAAACACTCCAAAGTACCAGGTTAAAATATTTACAACCGAACACTAACTACAGTTTAATATTATTTGCTTGTTTCATAATTTCGAGCAAAGCTACACGAGGGCTATCTGTGCAAGGATGTGCCTACCAAATTTTGAACTGATAGACAAAAGGGAAGACATTTATAAATAGCACTCTCCGCCAACTCTTGGGCTAGTGTAATTTGACCATCACTGTCACAGCATACCCACGGCTCCGAAGTGCAGGAGTAATTTTGAGTCATAAGTCTAGGATTCGCAGTCCAAGCACGCTAGCCACTAAACCACGCCCAACCTGTTTAAGATAAAACCCATCAAACGTTGCCAGATTAAGATAGAAAATACATATTATTATAAGATTCAACTAGGAAACTCCCAAAAATACCAGTTTAAAACATGAACCACTAGACGATGCCAACTTCAAATTATAACGCACCCAAAGCTAGAAACCGTCGAACAGTGCCAATTTAAGACAGAAACGATTTAAGCAAGTCATGCTGGTTAAGATAAAAATCGTTAAACAATACCATCTTGAAACAGGAACATCTGAGGAATGCGAGGCGAAAAGAGTAAACATATGGTGTAAATATATATATATCAACCGCCAAACAATGCCAGTTTCACACCAAAACCACCGAACAATAGCGACTTAATATGGGAAGTACCGAGCAATGACATCTTAATATAGAAACCATTGAAAATACCATATTAATATAGTAACCACTGAACAATACCAGCTGAATATAGAGAACATTGAACAATGCTAGCTGAAGATAGAAATCACTGAACAATACCATATTAACATAAAAAAGTTTGAACAATACCACCTTAATATAAAAACTAAACAATACCACTTTAACATAGAAACTACTGAACAATATCATCTTAATATAGAAAACATTGAACAATACCACCTTAATATAAAAACTAAACAATACCACTTTAACATAGAAACTACTGAACAATACCGCCTTAATATAAAAAACACTAAACAATACCATGTTAATACAGAAACCAGCGAACAGTGATAACTGCCCCATGCCACATTAAACTTTTTAAAGTTGTACCTATTTCCGTGTATGTGCGCAGAATTTTGAAATTTAGTAATTTGCGCTTGTATGTTAATAAAAAGAGTATATACAAATGTATTGTTTACCTTCTACAACGTGTCGCTATTTTCCTTTTTTAATGATCTTATTTCACGTGTAATGCATATCCAATAATTAATTTATCTCAATACTACCAAATTCTTGTACAATATCATAATGTATACTGCCACCATCTATAAATATGTTGATTGCAGAACTGCGTATTTGGGGATTTTCTAAGTTTTTTTTACTTTAAATAGATATCTTAATATTGACCAATTCTATCTTATACGCTTTGTGATATCCAAACTGTTTCTCTTTATTATTCTCTTCTTAAACTGGAATCGGATGTGGCCCTGTGGTTGGGGTGTCCGGACTGTGTAATCACGGTTCGTGCTGTAACTTTTACCGAAGTTTGATCCGAGTTATCTCTCAGTTTCCATGCCTTGTTTATTGCAATTCGAGCTTCTTAAGCTCATCTTTGATACATCTTAGTAGTTGGCTCACGTCTTCCTTATTTATTATCTTTAGATGTTTGAATGTATCGGTAAAAACCAAACAATAACTAGTTATGTTCAAAATTTTCTTGTCTACATTGCGCTCGTATAAACATGAAACTGTTACTCAGCGAAACAAGTGGGATGTTTTAGTAAAACCACAGATTTCTTAGGTATCGATCTTGTAGCTCGTATTCTGTCCCTCTACACACTAGTTACATGGGTAATATATTATGAATGTTAATATTGATGAAATGTAATATTAAAAAAGCCCTATTCTGTTTCACTATCTTTATATATTTACTACGTGAATCTCATCATATCATCGTGAGAGCTAGGCTTATGACACTGTGGATTCAAAACGCTATTGGAGTAGAACTTGAAAACATTTTGTTCAATGCTGCAGTTGGGTTTCCACCAGAAAGGGATTAAACAGTGGTATATTTTTCGCCCATTGTAGTCATATGTATATATATATAAATGTGTATGTATGTTTACATATTCATTTTCTATATTGATTTACACATTTTAGCAACACTAAAAATACAAAATATTTTCCATGTTTTGTATATGTCTACTACTGTTTAAATTTTGAAGGAAACAACTAACCTAGGTTCGAACGTAGAATAATCAGTTTCACTACATTATGAAACGTAAATATAAACATGACTTTTAGTGAATTAACGCAACCTATTAGCATAATACATGCGTATGTTAGCGTTAAGGTACTGTGAGCGTGTTAACGTAATATGATGTGTTAGCTTAACAAAATACTCTGTTAATATAACATGCTGTGAGCTTGTTAGCTTAATTGCACTGATGAATTGAAAATTCGCTGTGAGTGACGTATAGTGTAGAATAGATGTTCATGACATTAGGCTTGTATCATCAACTATGATAAAGAAGCAGGAAACATGCAGAAGCCTTTCTTACCTTAAAGTTGGCTTTAGCTAGGGGTCAAGGAGACAGTGATGTACTGAAAGCCTTTGTTAAGTTAGAGTTGACTTTAGCTAGGGTCAAGGAGAAAATGATGTACTGAGAGTCTTTATTAAGTTAGAGTTGACTTTAGCTATGGTCAAGGAGAAAATGATGTACTGAAAGCCTTTGTTAAGTTAGAGTTGACTTTAGCTAGGGTCAAGGAGAAAATGATGTACTGAGAGTCTTTATTAAGTTAGAGTTGACTTTAGCTAGGGTCAAGGAGAAAATAATGTACTGAAAGTCTTTATTAAGTTAGAGTTGACTTTAGCTAGGGTCAAGGAGAAAATAATGTACTGAAAGTCTTTATTAAGTTAGAGTTGACTTTAGCTAGGGTCAAGGAGACAAAGATATTCTGAAATAACTCATTTCGAGTGTTAACTAAATTATGATGATTAAATTCTCCTTCTGGACGAAAAATTAATAACCGGAGGCACATAGATTTTTAAAATGTCGTTCTTTTGTTCTCTCTGGTGTAATCATTACCACCTTGATTGAAAACTGTCTATTATGTGTGTGTTTTTTTTAGTCTGAACTACGGTTTTATAAGAACTAATAGTAAACAGTTTCTGAATGTTTTGATCACTTTGTTTTCTTTTACAGAACATGTATATACTTTGGAGTTAATAGTAAACTGTGTGGTTTTTTAAATGTTCCTTCGAGTTCTTTTTTTGTTTTGTATTGATTGAAATACAGGCTCTGGACATTAGTAAATTATCACCGATCATTTATGCGATTTTGTAGATCTCTGTGGTTCTTTCAGAATTGTGCACCTAATTATGGGTTTTAACGTAAACTCGGTTTTAAGCTTGACGAGTTATATATATAGCTTTCAGAACCAAACTTCATAGGGCCTCTCTGTTGTGGGTCGGATGTGCTAGGTTGGGGATTGGAAGGCCCAATATTCATTCTGCGATATGGCACTGAACACGCTCAATATTTTAAGTTCTGGTAGTATTATAACCGTAACAATCAACGCCATTAAATGGTTTAGAGTGGCCACATAAGCGGCAGGTGTTTCTGGTTGAATGACCCCCTCTGGCCAGCAATTCTAAATCAGAGCCGGGGACGGCTATGTCTGAACTTTAGGGTTTCTTACCCGGATGTTTAAACCATGTGTCGCACAAGATTCAGATTGAAAATATCAAATACGTTTCTGCATGCTGTAGATTTATTAATAAGTATTAGACTAATTAGATTATGTATCTTGTTTGAGCCAAATCTCAAAATAATTCATATGAACAATATAATTTCACGCCATCAGATTTGCAGTGTTCCTCGTGAAAACCGTAGTTTTTGGGACTAAAAATTAACAGAGCCAGAAACATTGAAAATAAACACACTTAATTTTAATTACGTTCGTGAACAATTAAATCACAATATCTTTTAATACGAAACTACAAGAATGTTAGGATTAGGGGCGTTTTCAGGTGTTCTGTGTGCCCTGCTTTCTAACTGAAACTGAAGTGTTGCTTCCAGGATCCAGCATATCCAGGTAAGGATTCAACAGATCCATGGCTAGGACTGATCCAACAAGCTCCGTATTGCTACGACCCCTCATTGTCTGGATATAGGTAAGCCTACTTTTTCAATCTGCATGACCGTTTTTGCATGATAAAATAAACATTTGGATTTTTAATATTATTTAGCTTTTAAGTACAAATCATCTGATATGTATCGAAGTTGAGTTTTTGCCTTTGTAAGGTTAAAGAAAATACCTCATGAAAGAAAAATAAACGTTTATTATACAGAAAATACTTTAAAGCCTGTTTAATGTTTTAGGTTTCTATTTTTATAGGAAATTTAGTCTGTTTTTAGAAACAGCCAAGTCATCCAAACTACAATATAACAATCAAGTAGATGTCCATTATGACAAATTTTTTTGAGTGGCAAATTGCATACTCAACTCTGCCCTTGATGAAACCCTGGCAGATCCGGCGAAAGTCTACAAGTAAAAGCTCTTGTAACACACTTTAAATGTCTTACCTTCAAAGTTTTGCATTCCTCCGTCTTTTTCCTCTTGAAAACGCGGAAAACACGCACAAATTGGCTAAAAATGAGTAAAATATCTGCGAGGATTTTCAGTAATGTTCATTCCGCAAGAAAATTGTTGCAAGATAGAGGAAGTGGATCGGAAGTGAGGAAGTATAGTAGTCGAGTCGAGAAATTTGGAAAAAATGGCAAAGCAGTTGCATCACTTCTGGTTCAAGGCAGCCCATTTCACAGTAGAGATGCAGTCAAGATTTCTACTGTTTGTATTTCGTATATTTAATACATTAAATTTAATAACAAACTTGAATTTTACTTCCACGGAAAACTATTCTACATCAAGAAGTAAGAAATTTGAATTATGAAATACTTCTGCAATTCAGGCTTAAACGCTTATTCTCACCCTAGTATAAACCGGAAATTAAATGGTGTGAATCAGAAAAGAGCGGGAAACTTAAACAGATGCAATATATTTATTCTCCACATCAAAATTCATGCACAGATATGCAAACATGCAAATAATAGCTGATAGACTCTTGTATAATACTATAAATTACCTTGCAAAAAATTGGCAAAAGAATGACCTATTGTGTGAACTTGATTGCTACTACATACATGATGGAAGTAGAC